CGTAACAGAGACTCGAACCGAGGACTGTGTATTCGTGTCCGTGACCTTAGACCCCGTAATTTCCTCTCCGAAAAGAAAGAATTTTGCCTTGGCGTCGATTTCTTCTCGTGGGTGCTTTCCCGTCAAAAAAAACCATCTTTGTCGGGTCTCGAACTCAGTGTCGAGGCCTTCGTTTCCGAAATCTCCTCTTCGAAGCAAAAAACCCTTCTTCTGTCTCGCTTAGTTTCGGAGCCAAAGGAACCGCCCTTGAAGGAAATCGAACTCAGGACACTTCTTCAAGAGTTCTTGCCTTCCTGCGTTCTCTTATTGGTCAAAATGAATAATCGGGATTCGAAGGAAGGAAACATTTTCCCTGTCGCAGGGGCGATGGGTTCAACAGCGCCCGGGCCCCTCAAAAATCGCCTTTAAAATTAAACAAGTTTCAAAAACTGACGTTATTTTTAAACAAGGGCAAATTAAATTGCAAAATTTACTTCAAGCCTCGTTTCATTACTTTTAAATTAATTTCCTTCTTACAGAGAAAATATTTAATATTAATTTTTGATTTCTTACAAATTATAACTTGGAGTAATCCAATTTGTATTTCTTTAATTACAAAGAATGTGTAAATATGAAACGCAGGTGTTCTTATAAAACTCGAACACGTGCAACAATCTCGGCTGGCATGCCATATAGTTCATTTTTCAGTCCTTATGCACGCATGAGTGAACCGTATTGCACTCCCTCTACTGACTGTTGCGTCATAGGTTACGTCTGCTTTGTTGTGCTGGTATAAATAGCAGGCAACAATCGGCTTTCGTCACTCTGGTTCGAATTGTGCTTCGAAGAGGTTTTGGATTAAGTGCTTCGAGAACGAGATACTTTTGTGTTGCCTTAGTTAGCAAATAACTTTCGGAATAACTCAAGAACCTTTCCTGTGCGAATTTCACTCTCTGCATTCTATTCTGTCGGAGGACATCGGCGAAGAAACTATTGAACACCGAAACGTCGGTAGATTGAACAACCGACAGTACGCAAGCAGATCACCAGGCTGGCTCTGGGTCGAAAAGGAAATTACTCGAAGAAATGAACTCGACACGCGCGAAGAAGTCGAAGAAGGAAGATTGCGCGGGCACAGAAAACGAGTCTGGTATTTACTATACTGAATTTGGTCCTCGCTTTACTGAATATGGAGGACCTGATATCCCTTTTCTGGATATTTTTCCCATGGCACCAACGAAACATCCAGTGGCAGAATTTCAACACGAAAATGTCCGCGGCGACTACATTGATGTTCCGAGGCCTCGACCTTTTAAAACCGACTCATCGTCTAACGCAGCTGAAGTCGAGGACGGCCACGAAAGCGGCATGTAGAGTGCGCTTTGTTCTTTGCGTTCTGTGTCAAATTTCCTCCTTTGTGCAAATGAGATTTTCCTACATCTCCCGGTTTGTGTGGGCCTAATAATTACCGCCTTCCAATTACACCCCGCGAGGTCCAGCTCATAAATCCAATATATATTTCTGCACAGACAGAAACAGTATTAATGTTACTTAATAATAATAATAACACGTGTTTACATTATTCTTATCGTAAAACACTAAGACAGGGTTGTATTCCTATCTACGAACTCCGGAGGTCGGTGTTCGAATCTCGACTGGGTAATTGTATGAAAATTCTCCGCTGATTGTTAGAAAATCCGCCACTTATTCCCCTATATAGCTATAAAGATATGATTAACGTTCATGAAATTAAATCTTTGAAAGCTGCCATTTCAGAGATCCAACAGGTGTTGAGACGTAGTCAGCTAAAAGATTCCTCACCTTCGGGCTCTAGAGAGACGATAATTGAAAACGTTTTGTTTTACTGTCAAGTTATGTCCACCACACGGACGAAGTAGGTGTTTGTGTAGCCCAAATGCTTCATCTCCCAGAAAGAAAGAAGGTACTTTAGGACTTATTGATCCTGGAAGACATTTCCAGTTTTTCATGTCTTAATGATGTCCACAGCGAGGAGCTCTTAAATATTTTAGAATCGCAATCTTTTCCGTAACTTCCAACATCAACATAGACAAAACGGAAGAATAACCTTTGTAGTCGAAGTACATCGATCGAAAAATTCGCCCTTCTTTCAAAATCTGAAGCGATCGTTTCCCAGTGCTGTTTAGTGGGAACGGGAATACATTCCAAACACTGCAACTTACATCTCTGACAATCTTGCT